CTTCCCTGTTGCCACCATAAAAACCTCGCCAGAGTTGTTATTGTTATTATTATTCTTTTAGAGATAAAGCCTTGCTCTGTCACCCACACTGAAGTGCGGTGGCATGATCATAGCTCTCTGCAGCCTTGAACTCCTGGGCTCAATCGATCCTCCTGCCTCAGCCTCCTCAGTGGCTGGGACTACAGATGCGTACTACCATGCCTGGTTATTTATTTATTTATTTATTTAATTTTTATTCTCTGTAGAGACAGGGTCTCACTATGTTGCCTAGGCTGGTATCTTACCAGAGTTAATAGGAAGAATGTTACTACTGTTGATGGGCTCTCAACAGCATCCTGTTTGGCTTTCTAATATCATAAATGAATAATTAATGAGGTTATGAGCAATGCTCTATTATCAGTGGAAACACTCTAAAAGGCCAGGCCTCAGACCACAAGATGCTGCCTCACTGGGCTCTTAGCACCGAAGGCTGCACTGGCTTCACCAGGCTGGTGTATCCAGACTGTCTTAGCTGGATTCCCAAAACGGTGTTGGAGGAAAGAGAGTGAGCAGACCTCGAGGGGGCTGGGATTCTAAAGGAGCTGCCAGGGCCCCAGGGCTCCTCTCCCTGCAAGCACAGCTCACTCCTCCCTCCCCTAGAACAGTGGGTCCTCAGGCTCCTCCTGTGAGAACTGCTCTCAGGATCTGGGGTTATTCACTTCCTCCTTCCTACTTGTGGGAAAACACTTTATATCTGTTTTAAATTCTTGACCTTTTTACTGAGAAGTATTTGTGTTGTAATTAACGATTTGACATTTTAGTATTCCAAGTCCCTTAAAAAAAGGAAAAAAATAATATATTCAGAGATAAGGCTGGAACTTTAAAGGAATTGTAAAATAATACATGTGGTGTTTTTTTTTTTTTCAATCTAGCAGTCAGTCTTGAACAATTAAGGTTTCTGTGAGATTTTTGAGACTAACCAGAAGCCTCTTACTATGAGATATCTCTCCTTTCTTTCTCTCGTCCTCTCTCTCTCTTTCTCTCTCTCTCTAAATTAAAGGTAATTCAGAGAGGTAATTAGAAGTAAAAGGTTCTTTCAGCACCAGCTGGCTAAGACAGTTTCTTTTCTTTTCTTTCTTTCCTTTCTTTCGACAGAGTCTCACTCTGTTGCCCAGGCTAGAGTGCAGTGGCGTCAGCCTAGCTCACAGCAACCTCAAACTCCTGAGCTCAAGGTATCCTCCTGCCTCAGCCTTCCGAGTAGCTGGGACTACAGGCGTGGCTAATCTTTCTGTTTTCAGTAGAGATGAGATCTCGCTCTTGCGCAGGTGGGTCCCGAACTCCTGAGCTCAAGCGATCCTCCTGCCTTAGCCTCCGAACAGTGCTGGGATTACAGGCATGAGCCACTGTGCCCCGCCAACAGTTTGTAACAAATTAAAAACCGAGGGAGACTCTCCTGCCCGGCATCTTAACTTCTTCACCTGTGCCTTCCAATCAATATGATGTCAATGCCCAAAGAGAACCCCTGAGTCGAGAAAAGATCTTACAGTATTCATTTTAGCAAGAAGAAAACCAGGCCAGGCATGGTGGCTCATGCCTGTAATCCTAGCACTCTGGGAAGCCGAGGCAGGTGGATCACTCAACGTCAGGAGTTTGAAACCAGCCTGAGCAAGAGAGCGAGACCCCATCTCTACTAAAAATAGAAAGAAATTAATTGGGCAACTAAAAATATATAGAAAAAATTATCCGGGCATGGTGGCACATGCCTGTAGTCCCAGCTACTCAGGAGGCTGAGGCAGAAGGATTGCTTGAGCCCAGGAGTTTGAGGTTGCTGTGAACTAGGTTGATGCCACAGCACTCTAGCCCAGGCAGCAGAGTGAGACTCTGTCTCAAAAAAAAAACCAAAAAAAAAAAACAGGCTTAAACTATGGACTTGATTGATAAACGTAATTAGTTATAGATGTTAGAATTTTTAAAATATTTTTATTCAGCTTGTAAGACAGTTTTTAGAACTTATGGAAATGTTTAGCATACAAAATATGTGAACTTTCATGTACCTATCATCTAACTTCAAAATTTTGCATGGCATTTTTAGTCTAATTAACATTATTAGTAATACTTAAGCCTATCTGGTTAATGGGAAGTTCTATGTTTATGGAAAGCAGTTGAGTGGGAAAATGTGTTACTAGTCATACAGAAATAGCTTTGGGTAATGTAAAAATCATCTGAGGCCTTTGATTTTCTGATTCCAGACTGACCCTCAGACAGTTGGTTTTGGTGCATCAGAAAGGTGCCCAGAAATCTACGTGTCTAACATGGTCCCCAAGGTGCTGGAACAGAGCCCCAGCGGACCACAGTTTGGGAAACAGCTCCACCTTGCCATCCCAGACCTATAAAGTGATAGTGAAGTTTATTATGGTGATGAAGTCAGAGGACTGCTAACTAGCAGATTAGGTTAGGCTTGTTACCTAATTAATGATTTTTAATCATCTCAGGCAAAAAAGGAAAGGTCGGTTTTTTACAGGAGCAGCATTTCCCATACCTCTGTTAATTCAGAAATGCCGTGGACTGACTGCTGAGTGTGCAGTGGCGTCCTATCCTACCCCCCTCAGGGCCGGGCTCTGAAGCCCACTTGGACTTGCCGTTTTCTCAGAATATGGCATCAGCTGTTTCTCTAGAGACCATGGTTTTAGCACTGGAAGTTATTACTGCTTGATGGGAACCGAGTTCACTTACGTCCCCTGTTGTTTAGGTGCTTCTTGTGATCTTTGACCTCAAAGCCCGTACTCACATCTCTGTGCATTAATTGGACACAGTGGGCTTTGTTCCTTCTGGAGAAGCTGTGCTTCCCGAGAAGTATAGGGAAACAGTTTCCTTGGGGCTGGATTACGGGGCTGAGCGTGAGCCTTTCGCAGTCCTGGTGCTGTCCTGAGGGCTGAGACCATGTCTTACTCATCTTTGAGTCCCCCAGAACACGCAGCACATGGCCTGGCACCAAGTCCTAGTGCCAGTGAAAGAGGCCGTCAGCTTGAAAGGAGAGAGTGGGTGGAGAGAGTCGTTGCTCACATGGAACAAGGCTGGGGCATTGTTGGTTTGGGCTATGTGGAGGGCAGGGCTGGGGGTGGGGAGTGGCTGCTCTCCTTGACCTCCCATGGGGCCCTCTGCCAGATGCTGGACAGAAGAGCAGTGTCTGTGGGCCCAGCCAAATGGAGAGGCTCCAGAAGCTTTCAGCTTTGCGGGAGCTTTATGAGAGGGACAATGAGTTCCTTCCTGTCCCTGAAAAGCCTTTCAGGACTCTCCTACGTAATGGGATAGATGAGCCCTGGGGCCTGGCTTCTTTAAAGAACTGGGCTTGATTACAACACAGATGTCCCCCAAAATGTCTGGTGCTGAGTTGCTGGGTAAGGGGACAGCTGAGCTCCATGGGCAGGCCACAACTCCATCCCCCCACCCCACACACCTGGCAGACCGTCTGTCCCCTTCCTTGTTTTTTCCAGCTCCTGTTTCCCACCTCCCTCTTGTTAATTTGTTGCCCATGTTCACTCTCCCTTTCCTTTCCTCTTCCTCTGTGCCCTTCTTCTTGCTGTTCCCAAGAGTTACATGCATATCTTTTTTTTTTTTGAGACAGAGTCTCACTTTGTTGCCTGCGCTAGGGTGCCATGGCGTCAGTCTAGCTCACGGCAACCTCAAACTCCTGGACTCAAGCAATCCTTCTGCCTCAGCCTCCCAAGTAGCTGGGACTACAGGCATGCTCCACCATGCCTGGCTAATTTTTTCTATATATATTAGTTGGCCAATTAATTTCTTTCTATTTTTAGTAGAGACGGGGTCTCGCTCTTGCTCAGGCTGGTCTTGAACTCCTGAGCTCAAACAATCCTCCCACCTTGGCCTCCCAGAGTGTTAGGATTACAGGTGTGAGCCACCACACCCCATGCATATCTTGAGTCCCAGCCCTTTGATTTCTTGGGAGGGAGAGGATGCCCAGGCTAGGACACTGGGCAGCCATCCCGTCACCTGGCAGGTAAACCATCCTGGGAAAGGGGGTAGGAATCTTGGAAACCTGAGGAGGAGTTCGGAGAGGGATTCCCTGGAAGTTCCATGGAAAAGAAACATGAGTCCCCAGCATCTCAATACTTCTTAAACTGTAGTCAAGGAGCTAGCTCGTCTCAGGAGGGATCCGTTGTTCAGTGTTCACACTTTACAGAAGAGTTGCATGGCCCATGCTGTTGGCAATCTCTGATAGCTGTCATCTTCCTAGCCACCTCTGCCTGAGCAATGGCTGTTTATACTCATGTTACAAGGCACTGTTATTCCCAGAGTTCTGTAGGGACTTGCTATTGAAAGAATAAATTTTAATCAGTCACTTCAGTTAATTTGGATGTAGGACCCCAGAGTATTATAAAACTGCTACTTCTGAGCTGAGGCTCCTTCTTTGGTATCCCCTTCAGTGGGATTTCTTGGTTTGCTGTGACCATCTCCTAGTTTTCCTTAGACCAGACAGGTGACCTAGTGACAGATGACCTCAGCGCAGAGCTGTTGGGGCTCTGCAGGCAAGGCCAGTGTGGGCTTACAGCCACCGTCAGGGCCAGCAGAAGAGTGGAGTTCCCCTGTGGGGGATAGTTCTGCTTTCATGTGTGGTTTAGGTCTTGTTTCAAATAAAGGGGCAACAGTTTTCTTCTTTGGGAACTATTGGCTCATCGCAGAGGTTCTTAGAGAACCTGAAAAAGTGTCGAGGTGTATTGTAATTTATGTTTTGCTTTCTAAGGTTGTATGTTTTCTTAAGCCTTTTGGTGACCTTAGCTAAAGGGTTTATACAAAGAGATTGGCATGGGGCCTGAGTCAGGGTGGACCTCGGGACTGTGCCTTTGTCTCCCGGGTCAGGGATTCTGAATGGTGCGTTCCTGCCAGCACCTGCTCCTGGGTGGAATCTATTCAGAATAGTGTGGGGCGTGGGGCTAGATCTGCTCCTCTATGAGGGAGGTTTGATGTCCTGGCTCACTGAGCGTGCATCCCTGTTTCCTCAGGTGACCTGGAGCTCCTCTCGGTGCTGACATGATGACAGTGTACAGGCCGGCCGAGGGCAGCCACAGCCAGACCGAAAACCTGAGCTACAAATTGGCTGACAAGTAAGAACGTTTTCCCCTGAGAATGAGGCAGCTGGCCCAGCTTCTTAGTCTCCCTTCCTTCCCTGCCGCCTTCTGCTCTTCACTAATCCCACTTCCTTGAACTAAGGAGGCTCTCTTTTCCAGGTCCTTCTAAGGAGCCTCTTGTAAATCATCTCGCTGTGCTGAACTCATTTAAGGCTTCAGACCAAAGTGATCAAGAGAAGGTCTGACTAGTGCCTGGAGTAGGGAGAGGATGGTCCCTGGTGACTTGAGCCCTGTCCCCATTACTATTCCAGTCCCGGTTGACTTTTCTAACTGGGATGTCTAGGTATTCTAGTTATGTTTGAGCCCTAAATCTCTGCAGCTGCATCTGTCCACATGGTCAGCTCTCCCATTTGCATCCGCATAGTTGTTTCCTCCACCCCAGATGGAGCCTTTTCTCTGAAACTCTCGAATTCTGCAAAGCAGTTGGCAGCTCTGCTCCCAGGTCAGCACCCATTCTGGGGCACAGAATCCTGGGAACAGGAACTCTAGAAAATCTTGGGTGCAGCAAACCAGGTAGAGAAGGCCTTCTGTCTTCTGGAGGCTTGGAACAGTTTCAGCATCCTCGTCTCTCTTGCCTAAGCTTTGTAAATCCAACGTGGGCTTCCAGCAAGCCATCCTTCGTTCCTCTCCAGTTCTCAGACAGGGCCTCCCTGACAGTGAAGTCACTCCAGGTGTTTGGGCTCTTAGACAATAACTGTGACAATTACAGTAACGCTAGTTACCAGTTATTGATATCAAAATTTATAACATATGCCGTACTCTGGGCACACTACATATATTAACTCATACATTCATTGAATAAATATTTATTGACTGTCTACTTACTATGCATCAGGCACAGTGAACAAGATAAATTTGGTGTCTCTGCTCATAAAGTTTCAGCCTAGAGAAGGGAGGTAGGGTTCTTATTTTAAGATGAAACATGGAGTCAGGATCTAAGTCCCAAGTCCCTCTGACTCCAAAGCTCACTTATGTATCTACTGGGCAATATTGCCTAACAGTATATAGGATATTAATGATTTTTATGTATACTGGATCATCAGTTGTCACTAAGCATGCACTAACCTGGATTGTCATGTTTTTATGTATCTGTCCTCTCTCTTTATCTTGCTCCTGGCAAACACCATAACTCCTGCCATTTGAACCCTTCATAAAATATTAATAATAACAAACTGATTCTGATTCTGATTCTGACTAATATCTGAATTTATACAAATGTACCAAGTGGTGATGGAATAATTAAAATTTTTGTCTCTTTTGTAAGCACTCTGTTATGAATCTTAATTGCTTATTTAAATAAGAATTTCTGCTTTAATCACCATATTTAACATAGGAAAATGTGTTTGCAAAAAAATGCGTTTTCATAAGTTTCTAATTTATGCTGTGCAACCAAGAACAGCATAATTTATGTGCTAATGTCTCAACTGAGGGAGATATCTTTATGTAAACAACTGGTGGTCTTTGGAATAGAAAGCTAAATAGTAATAGGATGCATGAAATTGCTAATTATCCATCTCCTTGAACCTTGACTGGAGTTTCATAACTCCTATTCAGTCAGATCTATATAATCAGAAAATGTGCACCATGAGGTTGGTTCACACATGCTTGCGAATCTTGGCACATCTAAAGTCATTGTGCTCAGTCATAACCTTTACTGGTGGAGGAATGTTTTGCACTGCAAAATACAGATACTCTCATTCTTGTTAGACTAGCTTTAAAATGTTTTTCTTTCAAAATAATCTTTAGTGTTTTCATGGCACTAACTAATCTTCTAAAATCGCATTTAGAAGCGTGCGTCCTCACATACATGTTCTAGGCCAGAACTTTCTGCAGTGATGGAAATAGTCTTCTATTTCCATCTATCCAACACAGTAGCCATTAGCCACACGGGGACTCTGAGTTCTTGACATGTGGCTGATGCAACTGAGGAACCGAAGCTTTAACTTAATTAGATTTAAGTTTAAATAGCCTCATGTGGCTGGTGGCTACTATGTTAGACAGTGTGTGAAATCTAAATCTACCTATTTATTCACACATTCATTCATGCAACAGATACTTATTGACCACCTACTCTGCCAGGCATTGTTGTAGGTGCTAGGGATGCAGCAGTAGCCACAATCAGCCCAAATAACAAAACAATCCGTGTCCTCATGGAGGGTTCCCACTAGTAAGGCTGTCATTCTAGAAGAGGTTCATTTCAAATGCACCTGATCATTGTGGCTTTACCCACTTAAACCAGGACGATTTGTCCAGCTTAGAATTAGCAGAAACTTCAGGACTTGTGGCACTGTTTTAGTTTTCAAATAGTCATTGCAAAGAACCATCTGTGAACCACCTGAGAATAACAAAAGCAAGGGAAACAGCCTATTTAATCTTGTACCTCATGAAATTACTCCTATTTTCATGAGGCAAAAAAACTAGTAATAATGATAGCCACCATTTATTGTATACTCAGGACATACTAGATACTTTATGTGGGCTGGCTCATTAAATGTTTACAGCCTCAGAAGCTGTTTGATGACTGATGTAAATAAAATAAAAGAAAAAAGTGTTTACAACCACCCTATTACATATGTTTTATTATTATTCCCATTTTACGGAGAAGGAAACTGAGGTTTAGAGGACTTAAACAACTTGCCTAAGGTCGCATGTCTGGTCAGCGGTTGAATTAAGTTTTAAACCCAAGACTGCTGTACTCCAAAACCCAATTGCTTCTTTCATTCCACCATGTTGTCTCCCTAAGAAAAACATAAAGTGGTTTTTTTAAATAGTAGTTTCAATGTTTGTGGTTTGCAGCTTGCATATAACATTTATATCTGAGTCCTAGCAAATCTTTATAACTAGCCAAGAGCAGTAAGTGTTACCTGGTGTTTGTCATTCTTGTTCAGGGTCAAGGTGGAAGATCCAAAGACCGGGGAAGACCCTCAAAGGCAACCAATTGGGTCCTTCATTCCTTTCCTAGAGGCTGGTCAGGAGCCACCCTTCAGAAGGAGCCCATTGGAAAGCCTCAGTAACCTCGTGCTAGAGTCAAGAGTGGACATGTTCAGCTCAAATATGATCATCAGTGACCCAGCTGCAGAAGCCAGCAGGGCCGGGAAGAAGCAGCTCAGAGGTGCTCAGAACCCCCACCCATCTGCCAGGGTCGGAGCCCGGCACAAGTCCCTCAGCATTAAGGATAAGATATCAGCATGGGAAGGGAAGAAGGAGTCACCCACTCCTGCACCCGGCAGGAGAGCAGACGGACAAGAGGATTATCTGACATCCTGTGTGGTGGGGAGGAGAAGTAGTGATGGGGTGAGACCTCAGGCCACAGAGGCTAAGATTGGAACAAGGCTGGAAGTAGAGAGCAGAGAAAATGAGAGGAATAAAGGAGGAGTGAAAGTTAGGGGACAGGACCCAGAGCAGAGGCAAGACCCAAGCCAGCTGGACAGGGTGCTGGATCCTAGCTTGGGCAGGGGCCGAGAGCCAAGGGTTGGCAAGCGCTTTCAGAATGATCACCTCTCGGTGCTGAAGCAAGTCAAGAAACTTGAGCAGGCTTTGAAGGATGGGTCGGCAGGGTTGGATCCCCAGTTGCCTGGGACTTGTTATTCACCACACTGCCTGCCCGACAAGGCAGAGGAGGGGCCCACCCTGCCTGAGAACCTGGGAGGCGGGGGAGGCTCGGAAGTCAGCCGGAGAGCCCACCACTTGGACCTGGAAGGCAGGATGCCTGCCTCTGAGGCTGCTGAGGACAGGAAAGGTTCTTGCGGAAAGCCTGGGGACCAGAGCCTTGAGAGTGTGTACAGGGGTTCGGAGGGGTCCCCCCCAAAGCCCTTCATCAACCCCCTGCCAAAGCCCCGGAGGACTTTCAAACATGCCGGCGAAGGGGACAAGGATGGGAACCCAGGCATCAGCTTCAGGAAAGAGAAAAGAAACCTGCCTCCCCTGCCCTCTCTGCCTCCCCCGCCCCTGCCCTCCTCTCCCCCGCCTCCCTCTGTGAACAGAAGGCCATGGACCGGGAGACAGAAATCCAGCGCTGACCACAGGTAGGTGCAGGTGGCCTGTAGGTGCATGGTGCCAGTGAGGCCTGTTTGAGAAGTTTACACCCCATCGATACTGTCTGTTCTCAGCCAAATTATTTGTTTCATAAAACCAATGGATCTTATAGTCAGGTTCATAGCTTAAGATAGTTTGTTGATTAACCTGGAAATGTGATAATTGATGCATGTGTTTTGTTTGTTCTCAGTATTCAAAAAAGTATTTATGTTTAAAACATCATCCTTAGGCCGGATGCGGTGGCTCACGCCTGTAATCCTAGCACTCTGGGAGGCCAAGGTGGGCAAATTGCTCAAGGTCAGGAGTTCGAAACCAGCCTGAGTAAGAGCAAGACCCCGTCTCTACTATAAATTGAAAGAAATTAATTGGCCAACTAATATAAGCCGGGCATGGTGGCACATGCCTGTAGTCCCAGCTACTCAGGAGGCTAAGAGGCAGGAGGATTGCTTGAGCCCAGGAGTTTGAGGTTGCTGTGAGCTAGGCTGATGCCACAGCACTCACTCTAGCCTGGGCAACAAAGCGAGACTCTGTCCCAAAATAAATAAATAAATAAATAAAAATAAAATATCACCCTTTAGATGTGATAAGGACCTATAATTGGGACAGTAACCAAGAGTTAAAAGAAGGACTCATGTTCACAGTGGCAATCTACTAACTGGTAGTCCCTAGTAACTACTAGTGCCTGAATCTTTCTGGCTCTTTTCATGCTTTTTCTTGGCCTCTAGAAACACATTGCCTGGGCCCACACTGTCTATCTTCACTTGATCTTAGCTAAAAGGTCAAGAAGCCATCATTGTATCTTGAACAAATTACTCTCTCGAAGAGCCTCAGTTTCCTCATTTATGCATATAGATTCATGCACTGTGAATATTTTATAATATTAAAATGACATAATAGCTGAGCATAGTTGCTGGAGTCTGTAATCCCAGCTACTTGGAAGGCTGAGGTGGGAGGATCACTTGAGACCAGGAGTTCAAGACCAGCCTGGGTAACATATCAAGACCCTCATCTCTAAAAAAATAAAAATAAAATAACACATTAGTAATGAAGCATATTAATGATTGAAAATAAAATCTGTGCTTTGAATACAATTTCTTTTCTGCTTTGAAACTTAATCTCTAGTCCATTTCTGTAATTGTATTAGTTGATTTGATATCTACTAATCTAGAAACTAGCTTGAGAGCAGAACTACTCAAAACAGTTGTCTATACTTACGTTCATCACTTCTTCACCTCCTGTTTTCTGTTGACCCACTCTCTTGAGCTTTGGTCACTTACCCTGAAGCTGCTCTCGTCCAAGGCCACCAACAACCTCCATCTTTCAAAATTCAGTTGCCAATTCTCTGTTCTTTTCTTATTTGACCTCTCTTGGTATTTGAGGAATACTTGTTGACTCCATCTTGAAACACTGCCTTCACGTGGCTTCTAGGTCACCCACATTCCTGCTAGTCCTGCTTCTCTGGGTCCTCTCAGTCCTGTTCTCCTCTCCTTCTGCATGTCAGAGCATGCTCCTCTTTCTAACCCCTAACCTATCCCCTCCCCAAACGAGGATCAGACCAGGGCTTCCTCCCTCCGTCTACACTTCCTCCCTAAGTGATCTCATCCAGTCCCATGGCTTTAATGTCAGTTACATGCTTATGATTCTCAAATTTAGATCCCTAGCCTGGACTCCCTCTGCCAGCTTCAGGTTTCTATAGTCATCTCCTGCTTGGATCTCCATTTGGTTATCTAATAGTATGGTGTAGATGTCCAACCTAAATTATATGTCCAACCTAAATTCTTAAACCAAGCCACCACTAACTACCAACCTATATGTTCCACCTAAATTCTTAAACCAAGCCACCACTAACTACCAATTCTATATGTCCAACCTAAATTCTTAAACCAAGAATTTGTCCAACCTAAATTCTTAAACCAAGCCACCACTAACTACCAATTCTCAATCCAAGCCACCACTAACTAGCTCTTCCTGAAAAAATTGTCATCTGACTAAATGGCATCACCCTTCACTTGGTTGCTCAGGCCACAAGCCTAGGAGCTATCTCTGATTCCTGTCTTTCTCACATAGCTTCATCTGATTCACCAGCAAGTCCTTTGGTTCTAGTTTTAAAACTTTATCCTGAATCTGCCTACATCTCCTCCACCGCAACCACCATAGTCATCTTGGATCCACCTCCCAGCCCCAGAATATACCCCCCTTACCCGCTAAGGAGTCTTCCAAAAATGTAAATTAGATCCTGTCACTCCTCACTCAACATGGTCTGTCATGTAGGATTCTTTTGGCTGCAAATAACATAATTTATTATGTCCTCCAGGGAACAAAGTTTGCAAACAAGGTTGTTCCTAGTTTACAAATAATGCTGTGATAAGCATAGCATTAGAGAGGGCTCTGGAACCTGAGCACTTAACAAGTTTAAGTTTACTAGCTATGTGACATTGGATAAGCCACTAAATTTGTGTTGGCCTCATTTTACTTATCTGTAAAATGGTGATGATTATAGTGACCACCTTATAGGATTATTGTGAAGATTAAATGAGTTCATTTATGTAAACATAAATTTAGAATAGAGCCTGGCGTACAGTAAATGCTTAATATATGTTGTTATTTTTTTTGTCTCTATTCTGTTTAATTAATTAGGCTATCTATTTCTTTTCCAGTACCAAACTGTTTAAATTATTTTAACTTCATAATATATTTTAATATCTAGTAGGGCTTACAGAAATTTCTTTTTTTATTTTTTAGTTAGTTATTATTTATTTTTTAGAGACAAGTTCTCACTCTGCTCCCAAATGCCTCCCAAAGTGCTGAGATTACAGGCATGAGCTACTGTGCCCAACATATACCTCTTAATTCTCTTGCCGAATTGCACTGGCTAAGACTTCAGAATAGTGTTAAATCGTACTACTGATAGCAGTGGGCAGCCTTATCGCATCCCTAACTTTAATGGTAATACTTCTAAGGTTTTACTCATAAGCACTCTTATTTGAGATAATGTTTTTATGTTATCAAGTTAGTGCCTATTTATATCTCTTTTTTCACTAAGCATTTTAAAATTTAGGTTTAGATTGTCAGATTTTGTCAAAGTGTTTTTCAGTGACTCTGTACAATCATATGGTTCTCCTTTGACCCATTAATAGTGAATTTATATCTTAATATTAACCCGTCCTTACATTTTTGGAATGAATTCCCATTTGTTCCTGGTTTATTATTGTTTTAATGTTCCACTGAATTTTATTTGCTAATATTTTAAGATTTTGCATCAGTATTCTATAAATGAGACTGGTCTATACTTGGCTTTTAGTGCACTGTCTTTACCAGGTTTGGTATCAATGTTATGTAAGGTCTATAGAAAAACACAGAGGCTTCCTTCTTTATGTTCTGAGAAAGTTTGAATCTATCTCCAATTCTAAATCGTCTCCCAAACCAGTGCCAAAGCGTAGGTCCCTGAGAGTTCCTGACTTTTCTGTTCCTGCTCTAATGCTTCCCAGCAGCAGCCCTTCCATGCCCATTCTGGGCTGTTCCTCCAGAGAGGCCCCACTCTCCCAGGGACAGGTTGGTTCTGGGAAACTGGAATCTTTCACCTGTGTCATCACTGGGCAGATGAGTCAACCTAGGGAACAGTTATTCCCATTATCTTCTCTCGCTTAGCTACCATCTGCTCTTTCGGTCTTCCAGCATTTTCTTTATAACCAGCTAAAGTTACTTATTTCAATCCAAAGATGAAATTTTTCTTGGCCAGTCTGAGTATGGTTGCATCAGCTGTGTTTTAAGAATTTTGGCTTTGAGTTTTTCATTTTGTTTAAAATAGTACAATGGAGGTGATTAGGGCAAGATGTTCACTTTCTACTCTTAAAAAGTAAAGTATACTCTTTATTGTGGTTCTATCTCTTGGAAAAAAAAAAAGGCTCAACCATGAATTTGGCAGACTTACTGCTCTCTCTGAGACAGGAAAGCCAAGCCAAGGTTGAAGAAAGAAATGATTAAGAATTTTGAGGTTATGAGGGTTTAGAATTACACGGCCAGACTGTGTGCTCTTTAGAGAATGTATTCAGCTTATTTTCATAGGCCAATTAGTCCACCTTGTCAAGAGTGAAACCAGTAGATTCAGAGATCCTCAGTTTAAGAAAATGTATTTTTTTTCTTTCTCTCTTCCTCTTCTCTCTCTTTTTTCTCTCCTCTCTGCTTCTCCCTTTCTCCCTCCTTCTTTCTTCCCTGTCTTCTCTCTTCTTCATTTCTCTAAAGCCCCAGGAAATTAAATGCAAGGACTTACGTCTTCAATCCTAAAATGGAAAATGAGAAACCTCAAATGTCAGGAAATTCCAAAGATAAGGTTCCTACAGCAACATTAACTTGGTTATGTATGTTTTATGGCATATGTTTAATAACTTTGGCAGGAATGCCTTAAGGCTGACATTTAACAAAAAAAAGTTAGTATTTTTAAGTGTAAGCAGCATCTGCATTTACATGTATCTACGTACTGAAAATGTTTTAACTTGAATACAGATTCTTAAATTTTAGTTTGATTTGATCATGTGACAGTTTTTATTTTATTTTATTTTATTTTATTTTATTTTTTTTTTTGAGACAGAGTCTCGCTTTGTTGCCCAGGCTAGAGTGAGTGCCGTGGCGTCAGCCTAGCTCACAGCAACCTCAAACTCCTGGGCTCGAGGGATCCTTCTGCCTCAGCCTCCCAAGTAGCTGGGACTACAGGCATGCGCCACCATGCCCGGCTAATTTTTTTATATATATATCAGTTGGCCAATTAATTTCTTTCTATTTTTATAGTAGAGACGGGGTCTCGCTCAGGCTGGTTTTGAACTCCTGACCTTGAGCAATCCGCCCGCCTCGGCCTCCCAAGAGCTAGGATTACAGGCGTGAGCCACAGCGCCCGGCCTATGTGACAGTTTTTAGATCTTTATGAAACCAAAAAATTTTGATGACCAAAATTTAAACTTTTCAACTGATTGTTTTGGCATCATATAAATTTAGT